GCAAACTTCAGGCAAAAGACAAGGCCACAGAAAGTGAGTCTGTGATGGTGGATGGGCTAATCTATCTTGATAAGGCCGGAGTAAAGAGATTGGTAGTTCCATCTAGTGAACAGTTGCGTAGTTTATTTTTAGGAGAATGTCATGACGCAACTGGGCACTTTGGCTACAAGAAGACGAGTGCTAACTTGGTACAACGATTTTGGTGGCCCAGAATGTTAGATGACGCGAAGAACTATGTTGAGACCTGTCAGGTCTGTCAGCGGGACAAGCCGCGAACTCGAGCACCRCTTGGGTTATTGAAGCCGTTACCTATTCCTGATGGTCCAGGATTGAGTGTTTCCATGGATTTCATGGACACTCTTGTGACCAGCAAGAGTTGTAAGAGGCACATTTTCGTCATCATTTACCGATTCACCAAGTACGCTAGACTAATACCAATGCAAGAGACAGCCAGGACAGAATACGTCATCAAGTTGTCCAAGGACAACTGGGTAAGGGACTTTGGTTTACCAAAGACCACCATTAGTGACCGAGACGTCCGATTTACAAGTGAGCTGTGGAAGAAGACTGCGGAACAGATGGGCAGTCAACTTCAAATGACTTCAGGAATCATCCCGAAGCCAACGGACAAGCCGAACAGATGAATAGAGTTGTACAGCACTTGTTGAGGCATTACATCAAGCCCAGCCAGGATGACTGGGATGAGCAGTTACCTCTCATCGCCAGCCTGTACAACAACGCTATACATARCAGTACCGGCGTCAGTCCTAACCAGCTGCACTTAGGATGGAAGCCTAGATCAGCATTAGACTTCGTCCTACCTGAAGACCGACCTGCTGCAACTCCAAGCACATTTGAATACGGTGTGCAATATGAGAAGTTGCTGCAAGAGGCTGTTGAACATATGAAGAAAGCTCAGCAAGCCATGACTGCTTCTGAGAATCAACATCGCAGACAGTCCACATTTCAGGTAGGGGAACGCGTCTGGGTCAAGGCTAGTGAGTTAGGACAGGAATTCGGAATATCTCGCAAACTAATGCCTCAGTACTTTGGTCCCTGGGGAGTCTTGGATGTAGTGGGAAATGAAATGGATGGTCCTACGTACGTCATTCGTGTCCCTGGTCATCTACGCACTCACCCAGTCTTTCATGCCTCAAAGCTTGCACCTTTCGCTGAGACTGATCAATTCCCTTCCAGGAGATCGATGCTGCCCCCAACCATGGATGGACAAGTCGATCGACGACATTGTGGATCATAGGGATATGCCTGTTCCGAAGCCGCTGGGTCGAGGAAGACCTCCTAAACCCAAGAGGGAGTACCGGTTCAGATTCAGGCATCATACGGATCCTAAAGAAGATCGGTGGTTTACCCGGGAGGAACTGATGGAAACAGCTCCTCAGGTGGTGGCAAATTATGAACGGAAGCTAAAAGGGAAGGCACCTGCGAAGTAAGCATCTCAGCGGACTTTCGAAGCTAAGGGGGATGGAATGTGAGGATTGAGCCCTCAAGTAGGGGCCTTGCCATGATGTACATGTTCTGGGCTAAGGCCCCAGCAAGCCTAGTGCCCGCCCTAAGTGAAGGCGGGTCAGCAAATCAAAAAGAGCCCTCTATGCCAACATTTCACGAAGTGGGGTCTATACAGTTGCAGCACGCCAGTTGGTTGAAGTGCACCGCGTCTCGGATTTCAGCAAATGCTGAAATGCCCAGGGCCTCTGAGTTAGTTAGCCCCTGGGCACTCGAACGTGAGGCCGACAATGCATGCTGGGTAGAGAGGCCGAAAATGCCAAAGGGAAATCGGCCCACCATCTGAATCTGGCCGCAGGCCTTGAGAGGCGCAACTGCATTGCTCCGGGGCCCAACTGTATCGGGTAGGCTTCAGCCTCTGGGCCCCGGTCACAGGCTGAAGGAAGGCCGACCACACGCTGCACTGGCATATAGGCAAGCAGGGCGAGTGGGCAGGGATCTTGGCCAATGCTGGCACTTGCAGGCACGCTGCGCGGATGCATGTGTGCTGCGTTGTGCAAGGCAGTGCTGCGCTAAGAGCAAGCAGGCCGGCGCTAGGCGGTAGGGCGCTGCCTGCACGAAGGGCATTGGCGGCCATAGCCGGGCCGCATGAGGGTGCATGGGAGGTGAGGGCGAAGGTGGTACTTCGGAGGTGAAGGGCGCTGTGTGGGTGACAAGGGAGAGTGTGAGGAAGAGGACACGTACCTGGTGGAGGTGGAGGTCGGCATTGGTGTTGACATCATCACTCGCTGGTAGTCAAGTTGTCTGGTTGCTTTTCATTGCTGTAGTTGTAGGATAGGCTGTAGAGTAGATAGGGCGCCTGGCGCCATTCACAAGAGAGAGCTACATTTGGGTTATGTTGTTGGTGTTGCCCTGTTGGGCATGGACATTGACTCACGATTCTTTTGTATCGTTCTCAATTGGATGGTTACTCGGTTGCCTGTACTATCACCTTTGGCTTTGACTACTTGGACTTCAGTGTGATTTTGCATTCTGGATTTCTGTGCTGCGTCCATACTCATGTTCCTTGCAATGAATGCGATGACGAGCAATTCAGTCGCGAAAACTATCAGTCGTCAGTAACGAGTGCCATAGCACAAAGCGAACCATATGTTCATGGCAAATTTTGCAACCTTATCGAGGTTGTTTCGGACATTTTCTTCCTAAAATACTGCTATGAACTCATCCGTGGTAATCCTGGTAATATGACTCCTGGAGGGACACTCACGATCAACTGGTTCAAGACTGAGAATAGGAGTCATCCACCAATGTAAGTGAGAACTGCAGGATGAACCATTCAATTTGACTCATGTCAGTCGAGACCAAGTCCAAATCCTATTCATCAAATGAAGGCCAACTTGGTAAGTCCAGAACAAAGCCAACTCCCATTCATCGCAACCCTCACTCCTTTCTCCCAGCATGTCTTACCAATACCCTCTTTCTAATATGCTTGCTAAAGACTCAAGAAGACCATCGGCACAGCTCAAAAGCTCTTCCAGGACGAGCACCACGAATGTAAACCAGTAGAATTGTCATGCGTAAAACGGATACTTCTGAGTTCTCTGACAGTAGAATTGTTTTGTTTTTTACTAATAATAATGATGAGATTTGTTTTGTTTTTTTTTTCTTCCTAATCATAATGAGATTTCTTTTTGTTTTGTTTTTCTTTTGAAAATTCAATGGATTTCAATTCCAAGGCTTGTGATTGGGCCGTTACCCCGCAGCCTTATCTTGGAATGTATCCAAGCCATCCTTTAGGTTCCATACAGTCATAATCTGTATTTTCCTCTTCTTTTGCGAAGCATAGCTACAATCCGGACCATCCTCATTCGGGGTTCCGTGCTAGGATCCCGAACTGGCCGGAAAGTGGACAAGCGGGTTTGGATTTGTTTCTTTGTTTTTTTTTTTAAACCGTTGGGTGAGGGGGGGGAGAGGGGTTGGGTTTTGCGGCCGCCAGTTTTCAAAGGCAGCCGCGTAATGGACAGCTTGTGAGTTGGGTCAAAGCAGCTGTGCAGCACGTCGAGCGTTCATGGCATCTTGCAGCTCTGCCATCACCCGGTGAACGCGTGGAGAAGCGCGCGTAGCACGTGGGCGAGCATCGGGGGCGTGAGCAGCTGTGTAGCGACCAGCTGTGCGCTGTGCAGTCTGCACAGTTCAAGTTGTGCATCTGTGATTCTGTGTGCAGGTGTGCACACTGCAGTGACAACACACTGCGAAATGTTCACTCAGGTAATGTAACTTGTAAGCATGTATCCTGTTTTTTTCCCGGAAAATATATTGCATCCGGACAGGTATCCGACAAGGGATCCGGACTGGTCCAGATATTCCGGAATATTCCAGTTTTTCGGAAGTCCGGATGACCCCGGGAGGTCCGGCATCCGGGGTCCGGATTCGGTCCGGGGTCTGGTCCGGTGTAGCTATGGAAACAAGGAGATTTTTCACATGTCTGGAAGCTCCGAGATTCGTGAAAGAGTCACTACCCTCCACGCTTCTCTCGGAATTTATCTAAGCGATATGTCAGGTCCCATTTGAATCGCAGGGTCCTTGTCCTCTAAAAGGGCCTTTACCCGATATAGGCCTCAGGCTTTGTAAAAATAAAGCAGTATTGGCCTTGAAAAGGTAAAGCATTGTGAAAAGGTATCTCGCCAGAGCTCAGAAACGTGAAAGCAGGTCAAAGGTCAAGTTCTCTATCAACAGGCATATCTAAAGCTAAGGCAAAGGGCATTGTCAAAAGACTTACCTGTTCACCAGGAGATGTGTATGTCATGTCTGTTTGGGTAAGAGTGTGTCTGTACGTGCAGGCAGTGTACCTGTTCGTGCAAAGTAAAGTGTCTGTTCAAGCAGTAAATGTGTCTGTTCGTTGAAAGTTGAGCCTGTCCGAAAGTAAAGTCAATAGGCACAGTCCTAGTTCTGGTCTAAGTCCAGGGGTCAGTCCAGATCCAGACTTTCAAATCCAAATTCAGGCCGGGAGGCCTCAGCAGCAGTTGAACTTTATTGGGACTCTACTGGGACACATGCAATGCAGGGTCTGGGACAAGGAAAGAGGCTGAATTGAGCCAATGCAGACCCAGCGAGGAGTATAAAGGAGGCAGCCAGCCTCATTCCTCGCCAGATTCTCCACTGGCTGCAATGCGTGGAAGTGCTGGTGC